CAAACCCTGTGAAACACACTGATGTGGGTTTTTATCTGTGTGAACTCAAGCTGCTTGTTCAACGGGTCCTAGTAAAAAACACAGATGCTAAAGTGGTATTTTGTTGTGCCTATACTATAGGATGTTATGGTGGCCACATTTTTATCAACAATTTTTTGTGTGGTTGAGATGTTAGCTATCTGAAAAACACATAATTTGTACAGAAGTCTGACGGATCTGTTTTATTTTGAGAACAACAGCTCAGACATATCTCCAGGTTAACATTTATTTTTCTTGACTCTGAAAGAGTATGTATTACATACTTAGTTTGTTTCAAATTTTGTTGGCAGCCAGTTTTCCTAAGATAATTAAAAATGTTTCTTCATAATTTTTTCCTAAGATTTAACTTTGTTAGACATGGTAAGAAATGGTAGGAAATAAAAATCAATAGCCTAAAAATGTTAATAATGACTTTATGTGATTAGATAATGAAAAATCTAACTGTTCACTTGTAAACAGAATTCACAGGTACCTCGACAGCTGTGCTGACTGTGCAGCAGCTCATTCTGTTGTAATTTAAGGGGAACCTCCTCATAGTTGCATATATAGAATTCTAGGGAGTTTACATTGTGAAATCATTTTTCACGTGGGATGACGGGGAAGTCGTGTGCAGCTCTCTGGAATCTCATCAGCCTGTTCACAGGCGCACAGCTACCCTGTCTCTCCTTTCCCTGAAATCAGGTATCTGCCATTCCACTGATGTTCGTTAATGGCTCTTCATTGCTGTTGTATTAGATCAGTCTCAGCAGCGAATAATTTATCGGACTTGCTGCGCTTGATTTGGGGTGACGTGTGGTGCAGGTTGATGATGTCAGGTTTGACAGCAGTAGCATGTAATACATGCGTCTGAATACGCCGACCCACCCCCCCCCAGGAGATGCTGGGCCTTTTGCATTCCTCCCCTCCAAAATGCACAGCCCTGTCCCCTCTCTTGCATCCCATTCCCAGGTTGGTAAAGACAAGCTGCTGATGAATAGGATTGCCTTCTTAGTTAAGATAACAAAGTCCTGTCTTTGACATGTTTGGACTGGAGAGACTCTACAAGAAAGAGAGCTTTGCAAATCAGTTTTTGGACTAAAAAGTGACGCAATGGCAGTTAAAGAAGGACGGTCTGTGTATGATGGCCAATGGATTTTTGTCATATAGTAGAAAAACCAAAATTGGGAATCGACCCATTTTTTGTTTTTGATAAGATCGGAAAATGGGAAAAAATGGCCAGTTATCTGATTTTCTGTAGTATGATTATAAAATTGGGAAATAAAATATTTGTATAGATGTGGGGTCCGTTGACAGTTTTGTTGTAACCTGGAAATTCTTACTGCATATCTGTTTGGGACGAGACGTGGCTTTTCAGAGAGGAATGTGCAGGGGTCGTGTGCTGAGCAGAGGCTTGGAAGGATCAGCAAAACAAATAACTATAAATGGGTTGTTTCCCGAGTTTGTTTTTTCCACTGTACAACGAAAATCCATTGGCTGTCATATACAGACCTATGACACAGCGTGAGATTTCCTGTCCCTCGATGTGTTCAGACATTCTCTAGCGGTCTCTGTTTTCGCATTAGTTAGCGATGACCAGACTTCACGTCAGCGTCTCTGGCCATGTTCCCCCAAGTCCGCTTCTAGGATTAGCTGTAGCTGGGTGGTGGTTGGGGGCTGAGATTACACTGCAGCCCGGCAGCTGATCCGAAGCCAAAGTCATCTGACAAAGACGCGAAGTTCTGCATTTGCGCTGAAGTAATCGAATCAAGCTGTGAATCCCTCCCCTCCAACACGCTGCAGATGCACACATGCTTAAAATTTGAAGGTTCATTTGATTTCAGAGCTCATTTCACATGCTTCTCCTTGGGCACTCTGCTCTTTGAATAAGACGGGAACATCATTTGCTGTACAAGTTTTGTTTCGATATGTAACACATGGCCACACCACCGTAAGTATGACAGTCTGCAGTTTATGAGGTCGGTGGTGTGTGTATTAACATCTATGTTTTATAGAGTCATGGTCTGGTGTTTACCTGTGTGTGTGTGTGTGTGTGTGTGTGTGTGTGGGGGGGGGGGGGACGCACAGACAGTCAGACTCAGACACACACTCCAGCACTTGTAGTGCACACTTGGGCTTTAAGAGTGTGGTTAATATGGTCAGTACAGTTAAGCCCAGTGCTTAAAGTAGGAATCCTGCATTATCATATATAATCAGTGCTTAATTAGTGCCAGGACCTCTGGCTTGGAACAGTCTGCCACCTCAAACACTACACCCAATATAACTATGCTTAGAATGGAGTTAAACTTTGGAATAAATAAGGAATATATATCGCTTATCTGACATTTGATTTGAAATGGAAAAACCACCCCATGGCCACTGAAATATGAGGTTACTTTCTGGCCCATTAACCTCATCTAATTGGGTAATTCTGTCTTTCAATTTGAAATAACTAACTGGAGCTCATAGAAAATATTGCATTGTTACATATTTAAATAATTAATAGCACATTACTGTTGTGTGTGTGACATCACTCAAAGTCAGTAGGCTCTGTCTCCTCATTAAATGGTGGTAGCAGTTGGTCTCTGTGCTCTTCATGAGCTCCAGCATTGCTGGGTAAACCTACAGTACATATGGCCACTACTCTTTAGCTGAACAGGCATCAGGTCATACTGCCAGACTGATGGAATACCCGTGTTTCTGAAGTACCTGCTTCTGTGTGAGTGTGTGTGTGTGTGTGTGTGTGTGCGTGTGTGTGTTTGTGAACGCGAGCGCTTCCCCAGAGGCACAGCTTGTCATTTCTCACCACACCCATCCTCTCTGCCTGCTGAGTATATACCGTCAGTAAAAACACATCTCTGCTGTTAATGGTGAGCACAGTTGTTGTGGTGAAGAAGCTGTGGGGAATCTAATAAAATGAGCCTGAAATTGAGTGGAATTCTCTTTAATGAGAGGATGATTGCCTAATTAGGGACAGGGAAGGCGTATCTAAGGGAAGCCCTGGTACGGAGCCTCTCTCAGCCAGCCTGCCTGCTCTCCTATAGAGATTAGCTGTTGCTTAGAAGAAAAGTCATTGTAATATGCTACCTTTCTGTATTTAATGATGGCTGTGATGTATAATTTGGCATCTTTTGTTATTTGTTGGCTGCATAATAGTATTTAGCCACACAAATACTTATCTGAAAGAAATATTAATAGAAAATTTTACATTGTCATTATGCTCAATTGCCATCCAGTCAGTGGTTCTGAAAGGTTGTTAATTTCTGTCCCCTGCAATTAAAACAGCCCTCAATAATCAATCCACAGTAATGATTAGTTACATTTTCTAGAATGCGGTTAAGGGAAGACCATTTACAGGTTTGGTTTTAATGATGAGTGTGTAGACACCAAGCTCTGTGTGTATGTGTGTGTGTGTGTGTGTGTGTGTGTGTGTGTATGTGTGTGTGTGTGCGAGCAGGTACCTGTATACCTTACCTTATGGGGACATGATGACTCCACAACGTGATGAATACCCATATTTTTCCCTTATCGGCACCAGTTTCTTGGTCTCCATGAGGGAAAACTCAATTTAATAAAAAATCTGTGACTGCAATGAAAAAACTAAAAATGCAAAAACTCTTGTATTTTGCTTCATCACTTATGGTTATGGTTAGAGCTGGATAGGGGTTAAGATTGTCATAGTTAGCATTAGCATTTGTTCCATAGAAATGAACGAGCGGCCCCCATAAAGATATGTTTACCCGACATGGGGGAGATGTGCGTGTGCGTGTGCGTGTGTGTGTGCGTGTGTGCTGGCTGTGCACCTGCCATGGTGCGTGTGTGTGCAGTGTGTTTGTGGCCACTGACAGCCACTGATCTACTGATGAAAACAGAACCAAAACCTTCACAGCCCCATCGGCTGAGTTCTTAGTTTGCCCCCCCCCCCTCCATTGTGCATTACCTATTACCCATTACCCAGTGCTGCAGTGCATGCCACCTTACCCTCGCCCAGTCTACCACAGTGTCAGTGCCAGTGCTGCAGTGCATGCCACCTTACCCTCGCCCAGTCTACCACAGTGTCAGTGCAGGAAGCTACTTATGTTCCGCCTTTGGTCCTCCACACCATGGCAGGGAAGACCAAGGTGAAGCGAATCGCTGGTGCATCAATTAACTATGACCTTAAAAACCTCTGTCCCTGTTTAATTGCTGGTGCTGAAGCAAGTCAATCGCATTAATCAGCACTTAATGACATCCCAGCTCATTGGCTAAAATACTGTAAATAAACAAACAAATAAGAACAGTAATAACTGAAAATCACTGAGCAGAAAAGATGTTGGTATATGATCTTGGGTTGTGACCTTCCTACTGTGAACTTTCTCTTTTTGTAAATCCATATGCAGCAAATATACATGAAAGTTTCAGCTTAATTAGTTATAAAGCAATGGCCCCAGATTTGAGAGTGATTAGGCTGTATGTATTTGCATAGCTGAGAACCCTAGCAGACTATTTCAGGAAAATGCACTAACTTGATGAATCAAAAGAATTCATGAGTCTAACAGAATGGAATAAATGAAAACAACTTTTCTTTTAAACAGAACTCCTCCGCAGGAAGCTATTTAGCCAAACAATAAATTAATGGGATCTGGGAAAAGTTGATTTTAAACATCGTTTGGGCTGTATTTCACAAAATAAAACGTAATGACTCAGAATCTGAATAGCTTTGTCATTCTTCATCTGTTTCTTTTCACATTATGGTTCTATCAACATCAGCGTCACACATACGTTAATGTTAGGGAGCTAACAAAGTGTGTATCTTAAATGAACCGAAACACAATTGAAGGAATAACTGAATCAGTATTTAATGCTGCACTTTTTCACAAATGACCTTGACACAAATTAATAGAGACACTCTTGGTGTCACACAGTTTCACCCAGTTTGTCGGGGTAACTGCACTTTCCTGAGACTCTCACATCACTATTTCTTTGTCTGTCCTTTTTCGTTACAGATCACTTTCATGAATTCAAAACCTGCTCACCAGTGACCACAGGGTGTCGGGGCTGAAATCTTTCTGCTTCTGTAAGTACTGTCTTCCCCTTCGTACTCACATTATGTCTGTCTAAGCTTCACAAGCTAAAGGTCTCCTCTCCGAACCGCCGTATGAGAAGCACGTGTCTGTTTTGTTTGGGCAGTTGTGCTTAAGCTACGAGGCTCAGTTTCGTAGGGAGATGGGGGAGGGGAAACGTGAGCAACATGATACATTAATAAATGAAATAAGAAATGAGGCTAAACATGAAATCGATTCTTACACTAAAACTTCAGAGTTTAGTTATGGACTATAATGCGTCCTGCAACAGCAGATATCTTACAAGCAATTGTACAGGTAATTGTAAGTAGATTACTTTGCTAATAATGCATCTGATATGATTTTTGACTTTGAAAACTTGAAGTCAGATGTGTGTAGATGAAATGCAGTTTCTTGGAGAATTATATTTTCTGTCCAAGACAAGGGGATTTCTGTACTTTTGAATTTTTAAGTGTAATCAGTGGCTTTTGAATTTAACTGTCGCTCGCCAAAGTAGTGACCTTGATTCTCACTTTTGCCAAATTGTAATGTTTCAAAAGAACCAGACAGAGAATCAAAGTTCTATCCATTGTTTTGGTTTTTAATGTACCGTACCTGAGCTCCCCCAGTGCACTGTCATTGCAGTGCATAGAGCACTGGGAATAAAAAATAAATGGCCCAGCGACAACTTTTGAGAATGTCTTGCCGGATGATTGTAATTATATGACACACTTTCACATTGATAATTATGACTATAGTTTATAGTGATTATAGTTTATCAGTAAACACCAATCATTACATTAGTTGGCCTTGCATTTAAGTTCTGCCTCCCTGCTTACTGTCTGATGTATTCCATAGCCTCTGAGCCACAAGGGAAAGAGAATCATCTGGTTTTACTCAACTGACAAATTGGTTAGAATAACAAAGCTGGCTGTTGACATTGTCCACCAGTGCATGTCTGCACATAGGATTGGTGAGGATGAAAACAGGAGTGATACTGTTCCGCTGTTGAGGCCTGATCGGTAATAAATCATTGTGCTCTAACACAATGTCAAAACTTTTACTGAAAAGGTTAAAGTTAAAATAGATTTTATAGTTTTTTTCTTCTGTACCATGAGAAATCTGTAGGTAACAGGTGTATTTTTCTGCTTTTTTGTTTTCAGGAAACAGCTTGGTTCCATGCACATTTTTACTGCAGATTTATTGTAGGAAAACAAAATGAAAAACTCATCAGTTACATTTTGTCCCCGATTTCCAAAAGGTGCATGAGCTTTTCAGTGAGCATCCATACTCTAGTAATTTCAAACAGAGGCCTTTCCTTGCTGTTAACTTGGTCAAAAGGGATCATTCACCAGCTGCAGGTTAAACTATTTTTGGAACAAGGCAGTCATTATTTGACTTTAAAAAGTGAAATTATTGCATGGGCTACTAATGTCAACAGCAGCATGCGTCCTCTTGGTAGGTGAAAGCCTTGGTGTTCTCTGTGAAGGTTTCCAGGAGTGCCCGTGTTAAGTGTGTATACATTAAAAGGACACTGAAAAGACATTCAAATTCTTTACACAAAAACGTGAGCTTGTAATTTATGTAGAAATAATGTTTTCCACTAGAAGTAGACTTAGATATTTTTCACATAAGTACAACTAATATTTCAGTTACACATTGACTGTCTACTATTATATGTGTGAGGAATTTTACCCATAAGAAAAATGAGTAAAGCAAAATGAGACTGAAGGTGCCAGCTTGGCCATGCCTTTCTGTGATGATCTTGGAGAGTCATCGTGACTGCCGCTCAAATCTCAGTACCTGGTCAGACTCTCTATCTCTCTGTCCTTTCTGCTGTACGCTCTCACATTGCTGTTCTCTTTGTAGTGTTTGCAGCTGTAAGCAAGTGCTGGCAGATGATACTCCACAATTAAGATCTCACTCATTACAATAACAATAGGGTCAGTAATTATTCAAAGCAGCTGTTGCCGATTGATATCAGGTATGGTGGGGTGGGTGTGGGTTTTGTTGTAATTTATGGCAGAGGCATATTTCTGCCGTATCCTGGGACCGTGCCAGTGACTGTACCACGGTGGGGTGTCCACGCATTGGGTACTATATGAAAGCTGTCAGAGCCAGTTAAAAAAGAGCATTCAGGCTCTCATAAGGGTCCCGGGGCTGGGATTCAAAATGCACCCTTGTCTCATTCGTTTTACAACACGTGTTTATCAAGCTCTGAAGAGCCTTCAATTCCCCGGGCACGTATATCAGTGAAACTTGCTCATTAATCTCAATTCTTTTGCAACTGTAATCTGCGCGCTAAATTAATTAGAGAACGAGGCAGTAAATAATTTCTGCAGTGTTTGGCTTGTTATCAGGTGCATTTAATCATTCCTGTGTGATCTCATTTGGGAAGCACCTGAAGACGCGGGCAACTAATAAAGCATTTTGCAAGTTAAGTTGTGCAGAAATCAACAGACGGGGTCCCTGGTGTCCTTTTTTGTTAAGTACAATTTGTTCCGAATTGCATCTGAATTAAATATCATTGCAATTGGTATTTTCCCCCATGTATTATTAATTGAGTGCAAGCAGCTTTATTTATTGATTCTACATTATGATATCCTTCCATCATGATTAGAGAAAATGATTTGAAAATGGGATTCTTGAAAATATTACTTTTTCCAAATTTCTGGCCCTTGTGAAATTTTTAGATTTAATTTGGGACTGTCACTAAATCTGTCTAGCATTTAATTGTACAAAACACTAAATACCATATTTGTATTTCTGTCACACTGGATGTGGAGCTTCTGAGTGTGTCTATTGCCTGACTGAATGAGATGTAAAAATATCAAGTCTCTGAGGATCTATTCATCTGAATAAATAACGATTAGAATACGGGTATTTGCATCTGCCAGTCAATTAGGTAATGTTATGCAGTGTAAATTGAGATTTCATTGCTGTATCATTAATTTGTGACAAACTAAAGGAGAATGACCAGAAGCCAGACAACAGTGCCTATTGTGTTTTGGCACTCTCGGCTGTTTTCCGATTTCTTGCAGAATCGGTCTGGTATTACTGGGCCAGCTGGTACTGTAGTGGTCCAAATACTGGACTTGCGATGAAAAGCAGGTCCTTGTAGGAGGGTTATTACGGCTTCATTCTCGCTTTAGTTCGAGTGGAGCACAATGTTTTATCCAGATATTTAGCGGGACTGAGTGTATAACAGCTTTTACTGCAGAAAGCAAGCTGTGTTTACATATATTTCGTTTAGCAGCCACTTTGGTCCAAAGGATTTAACAGTGATGAGTAGAGAGCAGAGCTGGTGTCCCAGCAGCAACAGTGATATTACAGCACCAGGCATGGGATTAAAACTGGCAACCTTCTGATTACAAGCACAGAGAGAGATCACCCTCTTTAATACAGCTCTCATCATATTAATATTAATCATATCAAACATATAGCTGTTGGTTCACTAGAAGCTTTGGGAGAAAGTGAAGGCCAGGAGAAAACTGGTCTGAAAGGTCAGTGCTCTGAATTCCTTCAGTATGATTGGTAAAACTACAAACTAATAATAACTAGTAGTACTGGTTTCTGGGTGCATTTTAAGCTCTAAAAATGTTTTCTCATAAGGTGGCCTGCTCCACCTGTGACAGGCATCATTGGGTGAAGCGTCACACAGTTGCGTGTCATTAAAGTGTCAGAAACGCCCATGTTGTATTAGTCTGTCTGCTATTTCCAAAATGGCAACTTTGTGTCTGTAGAGCTCTTCCGTAACAGCTGAAGAAGCGGCTGTGTCCAGTGCCCACAGGCTCTGCACTGCCTTGGTGAATTCATGGCTGTTCTGGTGGTCAGATTTCAGGGAAACCGCTCGGCTTGTGTTGTTTCGAGGCAGGGTGGCGGCAGGGGCCGTGGAGGACAGGGTCGGGTGGTACCTCATTAATCCCCTCAGCGCCCCCCTTCCAGGCATGTAACATGGAACTAAAAGTCCCGTAAAACTAATGAGGGCTCCACAGCTGAGAAAGCTGTCCTGCTGATGATGCTCCAGCTGGGGGGGGGTGGGGGGGGTAAATCCCAGGTACGCCGGGAGTCACCAGTTAATTGGTTCAACAATTAAGAGAAGTTTTGTGGGACCCGGAGGAGGCCTTGGGCCCCAATGGCAGCCAGCCTCAGATTGTAATAAGCTAACAAGCTTAATCAAATGCCGGGGGGGTGTCAGCCTCCTGAGATCAGACTCCTTTGCAGAGACTGACAGAGGCGAGGAAATCTGTGAGCGCAGTGAGGGAGAGCGCAGTGAGGGAGAGCGCAGTGAGGGAGTGCATATGAAGGCTCCACTGGATTATAGGTTGGCGTTGTCGTTCTGCTCTGGATAACGCAGATACTTGGATGGTGTTTCCAAGCACATAAAATAGACAAAGCACTGTCAGCTGTATTTGGTTAAGTAATCAGACAAATGGTCTGCCCTTCTAAACGAAGCAGGAAATAACCTCTTATTGTAGCCAGGTCCGTCAATAACAATCTGAGATAAACGTAATGATTTTGTCATTCTGTTTTATTCTGTTCACCATAATTCCGTTTTTTGAGGCATCATTGATTGAATGGTCGCAATTAATGTAGTTTTACTTAGTGGGTGGAAATGAGTGTAAAACTTCAAGTCAGGTCATTGGCTCAGATGAACAAAATGATTAACCCTCATTATGCCACAAACTATCATTAACAGTTATAACTCTTCTCGGCTTAATTTATTGGCCCGCTCTCGCTGGTGATGGCCCTCCGGTATGGTTAATATCATCCTGTCCTTCTCGCGTTATTAATAACAATTGGTAGGAATATGTCTGGAAAGCAATTTGTTCTCAGTAATTGTGAAGAGTGGATGGGTCTGAAAGGGATGTATGGAATGAAATGCCATTATGCTGTAATGGGTGGGGTGAAAAGTGGCGAGACTCTTTCCTTAATTAATAACATCTTCCAGCGTGTCCTGAGCAGGCCGGTCTCTTCTACCTCCATCCCGAATCACAGCAATGGCGTCGTCAGC